ATATATGTATATATGTATGTATGTATGTATATGTATATGTGTGTGACATGTGTAATATATTATATATTGATATATTATATATTAGTTGATATATATATATATATATATACATATATATATATATCTTTTCTAAGAAAGCCAGTGTAAGAAGCACTTAAAGTACCCCAAGAGAAAAATGGTAGATTCTGTTAACAGTTGAAATCTAACTTTCTAAATCAAAGGTCAAGGCTAATGACTGAGGCTGTTTTTCTCTTATACTTGATGATTAAAACACCGTGATTCGATGTTCTATACTGCTGTCTGCAACAAATGTCTAAAAGTATTTGATTTTTCAGTCAATGAGACAAATATAACAACAACAAAATAATTCTATGATAGGACCATATGTAAACTCCAGGAATTATAAATCACTCAGTACACTCTTAATTATGGAGAATGGAATGTAACTGTAATTATCTGATTCAGTTTGTAATGAAAAAATTACATTAACATCTGTAATAACAAAAAAAACTAACAAAATAGACTTAAAATTTCTATCAAACTGACAACTAGAAAAGATGTCCAACACTGCCACCTGGAGGGAAATATAGAATAATGCACCTTGGAAATCAAATTCCCAAATAGCAATTGAAATTTGCCCATCATAGTTACTTCCATTGAGGAATTACTAGAACAAGAACACTTTCCACACAAGCAGTAGAAGCAGGGAGAAGGTAGTCTGTCATCCATATTGTAGCCTCTTTCTACAATGTGGTGAACTTATTCCTCCTCCCAAAGAGCCTCCCACATGAGAGGAGTTCATTCTCATGCAGAAGGGGGTTCTCAGAGTCATCACTGTAGACATGTTGCACTTCCAGGATGCTCTTTGGATGTCCCTGCCTGTCCACAGTTTTAATGCTTTTTGTTCTTCTTTTTCTGAGTAATACTTCTTAAGTTGTAATGCTTTTCTCTCCAGATACCTCTGTGCCTTTGTTGGGCATATGGTGTGAGGTATACAGTTGTTTGGTTAGAGGAATCATAGTTTTCTTTCATATGGTGTTGCAATACTTAGAATTCATGCTTTAATTGAGTGCTTTTATCTGTATTACAAAGAAGGATAGAGTCCTATGACCAAAGTAAAGATTTCTAAGTGGTTCTACTTAACACTTACTGAGATCACTTTCTGAAACTTTCCCAGGTTCAAGGCCTGATTACAGCTCAGGCACTGTCCTATCTTCTTTTCTGTTACTGGAATAAACACCATGATCAGATGCAACTTGAGGAAGAAAGGGTTTATTTCATCTTACATTGTGGTTCAGCATAAAGGAAGTCAGGATAGGAGCTCAAGGTAAGAATCTGGAGGCAAGAACTGAAGCAGAGGCCATGGAGGATTACTTTGTGCTGGCTTGTTCCTTGAGGCGTGTTTAGCCTGCTTTCTTACACAACCCAGGACCACCTTTCCACGAGTGGCTCTACTTAAAATAGGCTTAGCTCTCCTCTTTCATTTTTCAATCAAGAAAATGAATCTGTGGTGGCTTGAATACAAATGGTCCCCCGTAGACTCAGGTCTTTGAATGCTTAGTCGATAAAGAGTGGTACTATTAAGAGGTGTATCCTTGTTGGAGAAGGTGTGGTTTTGATGGAGAAAAAGGGTTTCAGTCAGTTCCTGCTGCCTGGTGATCTAGATGTAGAATTCTCAGCTCCCTCTCCAGCACCATGTCTGAAACTGCAAGCCAGTTATAGTTAAATGTTTTCCTTTGTAAGAGTTGCCACAGTCATGGTGTCTCTTCACAGCAACAAACTCCTATCTAGGACAGAACCACAGCACAATTTAATGGAGGCATTTTCTCTACTGAGATTCCCTCTTGGACAATTAATTCCCTGGGTGTAACTGAGATAGGGTTCTTAAGCAGGTAACTGTACAGGAACCTTTTCATATTCATTCTCTCACAGTTTAATCATATAAAGAAGAAGCAATACTTGAAACCACAGAGCTAAGCAAAGGCAACCAGGAACTAAATAAATAGAATTTGTACTTGAAAAGTCTCACTGGGGACCCCAATGGCAAACTCTGAGGACCCATGCTCAGCACTTGCACACTTCACTGGCTGCTTTAACCTCTGCCTACCTGGCAATCTAACCTTGAGTTCTGAGTGATTGGTAGTGAGACCAGAAGCTTCCACTTTCCCCAGTCAACAGAGGAGCACCTGAATCCCTCAGACATGAATCAGCACTGAGTAGCTCCAAGAATGAACTTTAAGAACCACCCAACAAAGTGAGGGAAACAGCAAATAGAGATCCAGACTCATAATCAACAAAATATCGGTAGACAACAATACCAAAGACACAACCAACAATCTATATGAAGATAAACAACATGAAAAACTAAGACAGTGTGCCTCTTCCAAAGTTATTAATCCCATAGTGATGGCCCTTGTTTCGACCAAGAAATACTAAAGAAATCTCGAGCTGTAATAAAAAAAAAAAACTGAAATGAAATATTAAAGAAAAAAATAAAGTAATTGAATCACTTAGTCAATAAGAAAATAAGATGCTAAACTCATTAATGGAACATCCAAGACTTTCAGGGCACAATGAAATTCAAACAATGAATCATAGCCATAGAAGGAAAAGAAATCCAGTCAAAGGCAAATAAAATACTTTCAGTAAGTCATAGAAGAATACTTTTCAAAAGTCATAGAAGAAAATTCCCTAAATTTTAGGAAAGGGATTTCCATTCAAATGCAAAAGTACACAAAGCATACTAGACAAGAGCAGAAAACAAGTTCCCTATGCCACATAATAAATACGTAGATGAAGTTAGAGAAGATTATTCTGAGCAAGATGGTTCAGACTCAGAAAGACAAGCGTTCTCTTCAATATGTGGGTCCTAGCTTCAAATCTTTAAGGCTTTAGTTTAAGCAGGGATCAGGGCAGAGGGATGGGAAAGATGACAGAGTAAGGAGAAACGTTTAAACCAAACTAAGAATGTATTAGAAGCCATACATTAAAAAGGTAAGCTAAGAATAGAGATTTTGAAGGGAGATAGCCTGGATAGCCTGTATGTTTAGATAACACTGCTCCTGAAAGTCAAGGATTAACCAAAACCCCAGTGCCAGGCATGAGACACTTTCTTATGAATTATTGGGTCAGGAACACATCAGATTCTCCAAAATATACTCTTCCTACTCTTTTTGATAGCCCACCAGAACCAGTTGATAAGACCCCAATGTTTAAGACAGCACACTTGGTTGCCAAGTAACAAAGAAATGAAGCTGGAACTGAGTTAGATGCTACTGTCCTATTGGCTGGTTTCCATGGTGCTGAAATGTCCTATACAGGCTTTGGAGGGGGGGGTAGGATATCAATAATCACACCCAGATGTAAAGTTACGAATTAAAATACCAACCTTCCAGGTAAAATGCATCCACTGGTACATAGTGGCACAACTGTTATGGAGGTAACCAACTCTGCTCACATCTTGTGGATGTGAGGCCCAACCTACAAGGAATCCATGCGTGGTGTTGTAAAACTTGTTCTTCTTCTTCATCATCATCATCATCACAACACAGCCTATGGATGAAGCCTTAGGCAAACTACTGCTATTGTGTAGCTAAATTATCTTTGTGCCAAGCTACTTATTAACTATGTTAACCAAAGAAGCTTATTTGGAATCGATGTTGGTAGATGCAAAGATGCTACTACAATTTTCTCTAAGGCTCATAGATTATCACAGGAGAGCAGGAAGAATCTAAGAGACAAAAGGCAAGGAGGACTATGAGGTGCTATCTTGTGGAATTTAGGCACGACTTCACATCAGCTGGGGCTGCCTGCTACGGGCCTATTACACTCCAGCAAGAATCGAGGGAAGGGATCATGGAGTCTTACCCTCCCTTCCCTGCTATTTGCTACTAATGGATCCTAGGGATTTCAGGGTCCAGATGTCCACAATTCCAGATGCAGGAGATGCAGTGAAAGGAACTCAAAGAGATTAGGAGGGGTCATAAAGACTGATCAAGCCTGTTTTCAGTGTTATCTTTAGTAGCTAAATGCTATATAAATAACAGTGGGAAAAATAAACTGTTCACTCCCTAAATGAACTGAGTCCTACAACTGTTTACCATCACCCTCCTTTCCAGGTGCCTGTGGTGGCCATGGCTCCACTGGTCACAGCAAGCAGAACGGCAGTCCTTGTCTTCAGCTGTTTACCCATTGGTCAGATCAGCAGGCTGTCAGCTCCAAACTCACCCACGATCACACTGATCATCCTGTTTAAACTCTGATGTGTCTCACAAAGGGCTTGCACGGGCAACAGAGGTGGGAGGGGAATTATACCAATCAGAATGTACTTTACATATGTACGAAATTGGCAGACTCAATAAAAATTTTACTAGGTGGACCCACATTCATATATCAATTCCCAAGGATACCTAATAACGAGAAAGCTGAAATGACCAACTTGTGATAGAATTTCAGACTGCCAAAACAGCTGTAAACAGATGGTGTCCAAGAAGAGAGTCGCAGAGGAGAGCCCCAGATGTGTGTTGTGTGTAAATCTTTGGCTAACCTCTTAGCAGGGTGTGAGGGGAAAGTTCACACTCAAGAAGAGTGAAAACACAGCAGTACTAATCTCTTCATAATGGCCAAAGTCCAAAGTAGGTGTTGGTATGTTTCAGCTTTTCTATGGACCTAGCCTAACAAAAAAAAACAAAAAAACAAAAAAACAAAACAAGCCAGAACCTCAGTGTGACCATCCAGTAACCTGACAGTGCAGTTACTGTGGAAGTATTACTGAATTATGGATACCCAGGGTAGTGATGGGCACTTCTACAGATACTTAAAATGTTAATACTCCTTTTGTTTCAAGACCAGTAGTTTATAGTTGGGTAGGAAAACGGCTTGAAGTAGAGAGTGGAAAGAGCAGTCAGTCCTCAGTTTGGACTATTAGCATGTAGTGAGGGCACAGTGTATTATAAAATATAAATTAATTTACCAATAAATCATACTGAATGACTATTTAAAAAGCTTTTATTCTTATAAATAGGTTTATTCAAGAGTTTAAATGACATGAATCACAATTTTAGAGTCAAACATCTGCAGTTTTTAATGTAACAAAATGTAAAACCTTAAAAAACGTTCAAAACATATATTCACATATTTAAAATAAAGATCAAATTCTTTCAGAATTACTTAAAAATCACAGATCAGCTTAGAACAACCATTTATTTCCAAAGTTTTTTTGAGAAATGAAGTTTTAAGCAACCACATCTCTATCGGATATCAAAGATCTTCGCTTCCTCGAAAATGGGGCTGACAACTTCAGCCATGTTGTAGATTTTGTGTTCACACAACGTGAGGCAGTGTTGACACAGTGGGAGAGATCATCTGCTCTGGAAGAGATAGTTTGTATGTGCCTCAACAGTCTGATCTAGAAGAGGAGTGGAGGTCTATTTTCCATGGAATTCTTTTTTTCTAAAATGTTACAAAAATGAAGGTAGATTTACTGTCCTTTCCCACTCCCTTCAATCAGCGGCAGCTAAGAGCCCAGATTCTTGTCAGGCTGCCCACTCATAAACCCAGCTCATATAGCTACTTTGTAACATTAGACAATCACTTTCTTCTTAGTTTCTAATATTAGACAAATACACACACCCCCCCTCAGTTTCTCCATGTGTGTGGTACAGTTAACACAAGAGAACTGAGAAACAGTGAGACAGAACTAGATAGTACAGACTGTTTCCAAACCTATTACCACTATCAGAAACAATCCCCAAATCCATGAGGTAAACAGTTCCATGGCAGGGTATGTTAGATCACGTCATCTGAGACATCATCATGGAACAAACAACTTTTGGTTTTACATTTACCTTCACTTATGTAAATCAGGGAACATTTTCAGTCACAGTATAACAAGCAGGGCTGAGGATACAGCCCGCCTGGTGGAGTACTTGGCTAGCAGGCTTTAAGTCCTATGTCTGATCCCCAGCACTGCATAAACTAGGCATGGTGCAGCATGCCTGTAATCCTAGCAGTCCAGAGGTAGAGGCAAAGAATCAGGAGTTCAAGGTCATTCTTGGCTACATTGTAAATTCCAGGTTAGCCTGGATTAGGAGACCCTTCCTGAACAACAAACAATAATTAACAAAGGTGGAGAATTATAAATCTTCATAGTTCAAAACAATACAAAACTATAAAAAGTTTAATCTAGACTAGTAGAAAAAGTTACATTACAAGAATACGTTAAAGTGTAGCACACTGTCATCACCTAATAAACGTTTTCATCACAAATTTACTACACAGTGCTTTCCTATTCATCACTACAAATACATTTTTACCCAATACATTTTTCTACTGACAAAGAAATACAAATGTATGTAAGATAAATATTACATTACTGATACACTTAAATTTTATACCACCTTTGGCTTGGTTGTATAACTCAATTTCAAAAACAAGATAACAAGAGCTAAACATCCACTTTATTTCAGAAACAAAATATATGAAAGGCAGAATACTTCCAGAGATTCTTGAACTTGACTTACCAAAGAATATAAAGACTATTAGCTGCAATAAACCCACGTTTAAAATGGCAGGTTTTGAGACCCCTTGAAAAGATACTATACCATATCTACTCTCTGAAGTCCTGAAGCTTTCCCAATGAAATGTTTTCAGTAAATACAAAACTTATTTGGGGGAGCTCTATTCCCCTGAAGAGACTATGTAATTAAAAAGAAAAAGGTGTGGTTATTTGTGAGTTACAACCTATTTGCTGACCTCTGATCTACATTTAAAGCAGTGTAAAACATATAATGCTTTCAAATAACTGTAAGAATTTGTTATGGGAGCTATGCTTTCTAATTAAACATCAACAATTTGTTTAACAATTCGTCTTGTAATCAAACCTAAGTGTTTACCATTTTATTCTTGTTCCTCTTAAAAGCTCCTAACGATTACAGAAACAGGTAACCACACAGTAACATGCTGAGGTCTGCTTGGTACAGAGGAGAGGCCTCCCTCCAGAGTTTCTAAGTGAGCTGTGCTCATGAAGCAGAATAGCAAAGGCTCACAGCTCTATGATGTGCGTGTGTGTATCAACCAGCAAAACACTATTGGTAAAGACGACTACTGTAATTCTTTTCATTCTTACTCATCTTGAGCAGGACAGTGGTAAATACAGGGCTCAAATAAACTGAACTGATCAAATTTCTGAATGCAAACTCCATATAATATTTACTTTTTTTGAAAGAAAAATACACCCTACCTATTTCTGCTTTGACAGTGTCTAAGATATGAAGAAATTGCCACTAATCAATACCTCATCTTAAGTAATATAAGCAGATTACTGGATTACCTACTATCACAAAATTTACTTATTTTAGAAATAACTTCCAAACATTATGGAATTAGTGCTGGAATCATGGATATTTTAAAATTTTGTCACCAGCATCTAATTTATTATATATTTCTAAACAACATTATTGCCATTGACTTCAAATACATAAAACACACCCAAAGAAAAGTAAGTAAATCCTCTAGAGAGCTAAAACCAAACAGAAGATGTTTCTAAGTGGATGAAATTTCGGGATTAAAGTAAGACAAGTCATCAAAACTGACTATAACACTGAGCAGACTTATCACACCCTACTGCAGACAGGGCATGGTAAATCTGCAGGTCTGCACTCATCCCTACAGAAAATGACATTCCAGAAGAGGGGTCAGGATAGTTGTTATCCAACACAGCTTCCTGCCTAGGATTCAGTTAGTTATACAGTACATTTGTAGAATATCTGCTTCCTTCTATACTGAAAACTCCACTCGGTACAAATTTATTCAGCTTACATCATACAGCACATCTATGAGCTTTATGGATATGCAATACAGCACGAATCCCCGCTGAAACACAGCAGGACGCAGACCAGGTACTAACTAGAGTTCAGACGTAACATTCTCATTTGAGATTAGGGACAAACAACTGTCCTTCAACAATCTGTCTCTTTAACTCTGGAACCAAAATCAAGGACATTTTTTTCTTCAATATTGATTTCCTATATGAAAAAATATGTATATTATACTTGTCTTAACCATTTAAAGACTTTCTAATTGCTCTAAGGTAATAAACATAATTTTATCTGAATACAGTTTGAACTGAACTATATATGCTCACTCTCTAGGAATTATAAATGAAAGCCGTGAGTCCCTTCTCTCCTGTCTAGACAAACGGTGATGAGTACGTCAAGTCAGTTACGATCACACTAGAAATACATCCTATCCTAAACTATTCCCTATAAGGAAACTGCATCGTTTATAACAAGACAAACACAGATGTCTGTGAAAACAGAAATTCCTCTAACAAGATTATGTACTAGGTGTCAAGTACAGAATACTACTTCCACATCATTTGGTGAGATGAAGCCATAAAAGGGAGTATCCACGGAAAACATAAACGTAAGCGAATACACTGCACACACACTCTTACTAATAGATCTGCAAGGCTAAGCCTGTGGGTTTTCACATGAAGTGGAGCTGGTTAAACTGATTACTGAGCCTAAAGCAGTTCAGACAAAAGACTAGGCCTTTTCACAAAGGCTTTAAAATATCCTACTGGAAGAGTGACCTGATCCAGAATGCAAAGCTCCGATCCCCTTCAGCAGGTGATACTGTCTACAATGTCCTTTTAGAATTTTTAACTTAAGTATGTGTGTGGGCGGTAGGGTTATATGCAGGTGAGTAAAACACTACAGAGCCAGAGGCTGCAGTCAGTGCCCTAGAGATGGAGTTGTAAGTGGTTACATGCTGCCCTAGGTCTAGGAACTTCCCTGGGGTCCCTGCAAGGGTGGTTCAAGCTTTTAACTACTCAGCCCCTTATGATCACTAACTAACCAATGCATTCAACTAAGTCTAATGAAAAACACTTGATAATTCTTTTTAAAAATTTAAAGCAGAAATATAATTAATATTTGTAAAAGCAATGACTTTTTTTTCCCAAGTGAAATGATTTCAGAGATGGGTCTGTTACTTTGAGCAACCAAACGTGAACCGGCCAGCTGTGTGAAGCCTTTTTCTCTCACATATTTAGTTACAAAGATGGAGACATTTATCACCAAATGACCATCAACTTGTCAACTGCCCGAGCAAGGTTAACCAAGCCTCCATCTTAAGAGTATCAACATGCATCCATTTTTAAGATCACAGTAACAAATAAATAGCACCTTTTGATTCATGGCATTCCACTCTGAAATGCCAAGTCCTACTTATGGAAAGCGGTGTAGAATACCACTATCTCCTTCTCTCTCTGTAGACCCCTACAGTGTGTCCTAATTCAGAAGTGACTCAGCACTTCTGAAAGCAGCCCCTTTCCCTTACGTGGGACAAAGTGCTCCCCGCCTTACAGCAGGCTGCCTAGATGGAAGCACCCCATCCCTTCTGCATTCCCAGACACAAAAGCCTGGGACTAAGAGCATCAGACAGCAGTTTATTCAACTCCAAGTGTTTGCAATTCCAGCTTCCTGAACTTAGTGCTCTATTATGATATAAACCGTCATGAAGCTTTTGGATCTGATAACATTTCAATCATTGCTACACCTGAGTCAAACCTCCTAAGTATCAAACAGAGCGATGGTCTGTGCTGGCTGACCACCCAGGACTGTGTTTGTAATTTTTATCCAAGTAGTTTTTAAGGAATAAAAGGAAAAGTTTTTGTTCCTTTGGGGAGTGTGTTTGTGTTTATCTGTGTGTGTAAAGCTCAGAAAGAAGAGTGGGCTACGTAAGCTCTAGTCACAGCACAGGACTAAGCAACAGCGTCTATATGTTACAGACACAGTAACAATAGAATAAATAAACTTTGAACAGTAGCACAGAACCTAAATGAAGCAAACCCCAGACACACACCTAGTGGTGCTCACTAAATTATAAAATGAAACTAAACCAATGACTTCTCTCACATCTGAGTTCTTCTGGTTTGTTTGCATAATAGGGACACATGTAAACTATATGACCTCAGCCATTTGCCTTTTTTTTTTGCCTCTCTCATCAAGTATATCTTATCACACACACATCAAAATGATGTGGGTCCTATGAATGGACCTTAAACATTTTCCAGATATGATCAAGGGTCTCCAGGTAATGTCATCCTGAATCAGAGGCTCCCTAAACCCAATGGCATTAACTGCACAAAAAGCCAGTGTAGACAGTCCTATGAAGACACAGATGACTGGAGGGACCTGTCCAAGAGTAAGGCCCTTCTAAGTAGCTGCTCAGTGATCTGAACAGGGACAATGGGTTTTCATCTCCTGAAGGAAAGAGCTCTGCCAACACTTGAGCTTAGGTACTGCCAATACAAATGTGAGGAAAAACTTAGAAGCCACAAGGTTTGTGGTTGGTTTTGTGCAGGAGCCCTGGATAACAGAGCAGTATTTCAGAAAGATTATCTATGAAAAGTCTTATAATCAATGCACTTTATCTTTGGCCTGCATAAACTTCAAACAAGGAATTAGTTCAAACAGCTTCATCATTCCTGTACCCTAAATGAAAATACCTGTTCCTCAGACATCCCAAAGCCTCTAGTTCATGATCTGTTATGTCTGTACATCTATTCTAAGATCGGAGCTATATTTATTACAATATCTGGCAATTTTACTCAGGAATACTGCTGGGTCATTTATTTGTAAACAGTTCAAATTCTTTGCTGTTCTTTACAAAAGAAGGTTGGATAGATTTTAGTGCTACAGAGCTTACCCAGTCCCCTAAACATATGCACACACACAGAAAAGTTCCCCCAAACCTCTGAAAAGATTGTCAAGACAACTGCAAGCAACTTTATTCATATTATCCAGTTTTTAGGCTAGTCTCAAACTTAATTCTTTTCGTTTCCTTGAATTTACTTAAAAGAAATTCCACTTCTATTTACCCAGTTATTTGTTGTAGAAATAGTCTTTTAAAGTTCAAAATACTCCTGCCACTACCACATAAACCTTTGGATGTCCTGACTATCTGGCCACTGAAAAGTCTTGTTCAGAAAGATATAAAAAGTTAGAAGATTAACAATTGTATACCAACCCAGTTCACAAATAAGTCTAGATATGGGTGGCAGAGGTATGTTAAGCCTATAAATAATGTATGGCAAGATGAAGTAACGGAATTCTAGTAGTTTCTGAGGAACTGTAGAAGCAACCAAGCATACAAAAAACATTAAATTCCAGAAAATTGACTTTGATTTTAAAGAGTCAGCTACAGCCCAACCAGCAAAAATGTAGGCTGGGACTAATAAATATTTGACAACTTCATGTCTCTGAAATACTCTTTTCCACACATAAAATGTGTAATGCCTATTGTCTGCCAGTAAATACTTATGGACATAAGTGAATTTCCAAACCAGAAATACCAAGACTAACGCAATCACAGAGAACTGAACTCTACGTTTCCAAACTAAGCTAAGAAAAGTCTTGACTTTGGTCGGAGAGAGTAGGTGAGGGAAAGAGAAGAAAGCAGTAAAGGAGAAAAAATAGAACAACTGAGGGAAATGGAGACAGGCCTCGTGACTACTCCGGTCGCCAACAACAATCCCACCATTAACTACCACAAACGTGAGAAATGCCAAGAGCAGAAGCATATAGGGCCAGGTCAAAAGGAAAAGCATACTCAGGTTCTTAAAGGACATGGAATATACCAGCAGAAACTGCAGAACTCTTCTGAGTTCCGAGAGTGGTCCCTTAACAGGGGGAAGCCTCTCTTCCTTCTTCTTCTGTAGTTCAGTTTTCCAGGCTTCACTGCACTTCTGTGCAATGATGTGTCCTGCACAGAAGGCAGCCCAGATGATGTTGGTCTGACGAAACATGAAGCCACAAAATCCAAGCAAGGCCGAAGTCCTATGGTTGCCATAAAGACACATCAAATAAGCAAAAAGAGTGAAGAATACAGACCCAGCTTCTGTATAGTAAAGAAAGTTAAAAAAATAGAGGGTTGGAAATACTGCTAGGGTTAATGTTGACAAGATTCTCTGGATACTTGAAGAAGCCTTGAAGGAAAAAGAAAAACATTGTTTTTAGGATAAAATAAATATGCCATTTTCTTGCTGAATTAATACAGAGATTTAAATATTCACTGAAATTAGCTGAAATGACTTGTGCTTCTGGTTTTGCAACACCATGTTTAAGACTACTGCTGGTAACTATTAGTTACACTAATCAGCTTGGAAACTGTTAAAATACTAATGAGGTGCAGCTCTTAATAGCTTAAAATCTTTTGAATCACAGAAGAAATCATTTGGTGGTCAGGTCACTGGATCTGAGACGCTGGACTCAGGCACAGGAGGAATGCAGGGACTACCAGGACACAGTAAAGATGTGACCAGCTATATCACCTTGAACTTACGCCTTAGCCATCATCACCACCCTTTAAAGACAGCCCTTCAAATCTCTACAGGAGACACAACTGGAATGTGCAAACTAAATACTTTGCCCGATGATCTTACTTTTTGTACGACAAAATTACAAGGACTTTCACTTAAAAAAAAAATCAGGCAGGTCTACTCTAAACTCAAATGTTTTCTTTTACCTTTTCTGACAATTTGAGGTAAGTGTTTTGAATCTCTTTGAGTAAGTCCTCCTCAGGACAGCAGTGGTAACACGTGCCTTTAATCTCAGCACTTGGAAAGCAGAGACAGCTGGATCTCTGAGTTCTAGGCCAGCCCCAAAACCTATACAAGAGTTTGAGGTCAACCAGAGCTATAGAGTGAGACCCCTGTCTCAACTAATCAACCAACCAATCAAAAGGCAAAGCTTCACAAGAGCTTGTAAACTTGGCACATATATTACATCTTGTTGCTTCTGAACATCTTGTCCTGTAAATGCCGTGTACGAAGGCTTCCTTTCCCCCTCCATCCCGTCAGGCTGAGACAGTATTTCTCTGTGCCTCTCATGTATCGGCTGAATCCTCACAGTGCTTTATGCCTCCCTCCTTTTCGTAACTCACACCGCTGAAAAGACCTTAGAATCGTTACCGCCACAGTGGACATTTACTGAAACCTGGCATTAGGTACTAGCCTAGGCACTTCCATTCATTAAGTCCTTTACTCCTAATACAAACTCAATGAGACAAATTTATTATTACTATTTGGTATTTAATTTAAATTACTTCAAACTGACCAAGACATATAATCACAAAGGGGTGATCTGCTCAAGTTAATATAAGTCGTGGCCAGGACTAAACTTAAACCCAGGCAATATCCCTCCAAGACTTGAATTATGAAATCACACCAAAACACAACTAAAATTCATTTCCACCAAAGAGGACCTAACTTCCTGAAGAAAACATGGAACTATTAAACTGGTTTTGTTCACTAACAAACACCTACTTTAGATTTTCAAATACAGTTATTCCTGTATTTAAATGCAAATATCTTATACATATAAGTAGAGAATTTCCACTTAGCTTTAAAAAACACACACCAATGCTAACCGGTGGACATTTCCTCCCATATCTTATAAAGCCAATTCCTAATTGTGGACGTTAGTGCACAGAAACTCTAATCTACACATACCTTGTTTCTGGGTTGTACCTTCCTGAAAAGCAGATACAGTACATAGAAGTTGCCAACACTGAAGAGAAGATTGACAAATCTGAGCATTCCGATGGAGCACACGACATGCTCGGACCATCCAAGGATCCAGTTGGCAGGTTTGACCACTCCAACTGACACCAGGTACAGGCCAGGTAACGTAGTAATCATAGGATCCCACTTAAAGTGAAAAGACCACGGATCAGGCAGAGCGATAATTATTCCATCGACAGAAAATGTCAAAAAAAAAAAAATCAAGTTTCATTTGTTCTAATAATGAAGAACTTGGAGAGGATACTCCATGACATAATTAAAGAAACCCTCGAAGACTAGATATCTCTTAAGTTTTATTGTTTAAGATTTAGTGTGTATGCCCACGCACCTGAGTATTTGCAACATTTGAATGCAGGTACCCGAGGAAGCCAGAAGGTGGCACTGGATCCTCTGGAGCAGGAGTTACAGAAGGTTGTGAGCAGCTCAATGTGGGTACAGAGAAGTCTGGTAGTCTTCTTTTGCCACGGCAGCAAGAGCTCTCAACCACTGAGCCACCCTACCACCACAGCCCCATTTTAACAATGTTTTGCTCCCTGTCTCAAATCTGTCTGCAATTATTAAGGTGACAACAACCAACAAACAGTAAGCTATGATCATTTCTACTTTCTAAGGGTTGCTCTTTAGAAAATGTATACTCTGCGACTGAATTGCCCAGGTCCCAATTTTACAAACCAGGCAAACAATAATTAGAACTCTGGTGGATCTTAAGATACGCTAAGTATTGAGAAAGACTGCATTACAAGATTTCTGATCACAAAACCTGTCATTTTGGGACTTGTGCTTGTCTTGTTTTACATATTGCAACACATCATGTATTAGTCACTATTATTACTATTATTTTGCAGGTGAGTGATCCTTAAAATGGCAAAGGTTATCAGTAACAGCACCAAGAAATCAAGTTTTCAACAAACTTTGTGTTTCAGAGCAGTAACCCATACTGTGTTTTACGAGATAAGGATAGTACATTTATCTTTGCACTGTGTATTATTTATGTGGTCAAACATGTAATTTTTTTTTAATGATGCAATCTGACTAGTTGCCAATTTAATCCAGGCAACAGTAAGTTTCTAAAAACAACTAAGAATGAAGTTAGAATAAAACTCTCAACTTTTTGGTGCCCTGAGATCTTCCACTCCGCGTTCAAAACACTGAGTGGAAAACTTCATAGGTAAGCTTTAGGTGTTTTTTTTTTCTGCATTTTCAAGCGGCACCTGCATGTCTCTAGACTTAGGGCTTAGTAAGACAAATTGCCAAGAGGAGCTATAATCTGGTGTCCGTATTTCCCGCATCATCTGCTCTTTATGCGTTCACCTAACAAATATGCCATAAATCTTAGGGCTAGGTATAGTCACTAGCCAGCTCTCTTCCCGTTTTAAGTCTGGGAGGACAGACGGGGAGAGGTAAGGGCACAGGCTGGGAGGAGTCCGTCCCGGGGCCGGGCCAGCAGTGACCAACCTGTGACAGGGAGAAGCGGCCCTCACAGTAACGCTGCGCCTGCGGCAGGTGGAAGATCTCATCCATGTAAGGCTCACGCAGAGCGCGGCTGAAGGCCGAGAAGAGCAGGCAGGACACCAGAAAGGTGCAGCTCAGGGCGGCCGAGAAGTAATAACCCTCCAGCTGCGCCATGGCGGCAGCCGCGTCCCGGGCCCAGCCTTGGGAAGCCCGGAGCGCCGAGCCCGGAACGCGGGAACAAGAGCCCAGTGCTGCCGGACGAAGTACTGCAGGGCCGGAACGCAATGGATGCTGGGAGAGCGTTGGACGGAAGCGTGAGGTCACTGTTTCCGGAATGGAGGATTTATGCAACGCACCGGACGGTTTTCCTGTCAATCACTGCTTGGCGCTCTCAGAGTGGCCAGAGGCGGTGTGGAGGGGCGGGTCTGGGCTTGCGCGCCGCAGCCGCGGCCGCCGCTAGGCTCCGGAAAGGAAGAGTGTCTTGTGCGGTATGCTGCTCTCCAGAAGGCGAAGACTGTTCCCAACTTTCTAACTTCCAAACTCCCAAACTGCATTTCTTTGTGGTCATCGCTGTTCTCCATTGCCAGTGCGATGAATTGCTAGAGCCTCATTACGATGCAATTTCATCTCGTCGTCTCTGGCGGGTAATGGAGATTGATGCTTTTTAGATTGGTACAGGCAACCAGCCCCTCGCTCAGGGCGACTTGTAGTGTTTCCCGCGCGCCCCCGCCTGGTGAGATTGAGTTAGCATTCAGAGTTGGTGCATTTTAGGCGAGTAATACTTATCTGTGAATATAATTTTGGTTGCTGTTGCAGAGGGTGGTGACTCATACCTGTACTCGCAACACTTGAGAGGCTGAGGCAGGACGATTGTTCCTAGTTCTAGATCAGCCTGGGACATTGTAAATTTCGTCCTTAAAAATAATAAATAGTTATTCGTATCTATCTCTGTTGTAGTGCATCCCCCTAAAATGTGACCTTGCGCATCAAAATGTGTGGTGATATGGAATATTTATGCGTGTAGTCTCAAAATGGTGCTCACTTGTATAAAGTTGTAGGCTACGTAGACTTCACATAGTCCCTTTATTGTGAGATTGGTATTGAGACTGAAGATGAAAGATTTTTGAAGAAAGCTGAAGACAAAGTATGCTTTCAGCGTGGTTGGCGATGTTTTGTAGGAAAAAGCTTCTGGTAATTTTAGGTTGCTTTTGGGAGCAACACATCTCAAAGCAGCTGAGATTCCTTTTAAATTGTCAACCTTGGAATCGTCAATTCAGCTTTTTTCCTTGAGTCCTGGCTAATTCAGCTAATTTATGGAAAGTTCCTTGAAAGAAACTGGATGTACTATTAGCTCCCCTCGACTATTAGAAATAACCGGAATTAAATTATATCAGGACTCATAATGACAGGTTTCTTAACTCCCTCTCTGATTACGGAGAACACGTTATTCTTACCAATTTTGTTGAGGATAGCCCCGGCCTTGTATTTTGATACTAATTCCCCTTTCCTGTGAAGGGCTGCAGAGGAGGTGTGAGTCATTACACAGGTGATTTCTAGTGAACCTTCTACCCATCTTAATTTGTAAAATAAAGGCTGGAGCCAGTGATTGGGCAGAGGAAGGGGCGGTGGAGAAATAAAGGCTGGGGAGAGAAGAGAGAGGGGGAGGACGACTGGAGGAGAACTGGAGGAAGACAATGGAGGAGGAAGACGATGAAGGAGAGGACGACTGGGAAGCAGGAGGTAGAAGGACAGATGCAGGGTCTGGAAAATCCTCAAGTTATAAGGGTCTCATAGCTGGGGAACAGAGTAGTGTAGGGGTATCGGCCCAATCTAGGCTTTCAGAATATATTCATAATTACTGAGTCGTGTTTTCATTGACCGGTCCTGATTGGGTTGGAGATTCAAATATCTCCCGCAACACAATTTGACACCATTTCCAGATAATTTAGTCTATAATCTAACCTCAGACCCAGTAGGCTTGCTCAATCATGACATACATATAATCAACCATACATAGTCATGACATAGAAGTTTCTGGCATTTGCTGGATATAATGAATGGAGGGAAGAGCACAAGGTTTCCTTCTTATGCTAAACATTCTCATCAGAATAATTGCCACTAAGGACTTGGTGAGACATCCAACTCCTTAGATATGTGCTCTCTACTCCTCTTAGTTAAGCAGAACATTTCAAGAAAACGTAAGGTTTCAGCACTGCTGGGCATCTTTTCTATTAATTTATTTAAGATGTTTTTTGGAACAAGATGAAGATCGGTAATATACCTAAAGTTATGTAGAAAATGGCTGTTTACTAGGAGTTGTAACTATAATTTTCTGGTTTATAATTATAATTTCTACTGAACTGAAAGTGCTTCATCATTTGCAGTTTACATTTACGTCCCAACTCTGCTCCCATCAGCCAAGTGGAAAAATGTAAAACTTTTATTAGAGTTTTGGCTAATGTTTTTTTGTTGTTGTTTGTTTTTGTTTTTTTTGTTTGTTTGGTTTTTTTGTTTGTTTGTTTTTTTGGTTTTTCGAGACAGGGTTTCTCTTACAGCCCGGGTTGTCCTGGAACTCACTCTGTAGACCAGGCTGGCCTCCAACTCAGAAATCCGCCTGCCTCTGCCTCCCAAGTGCTGGGATTAAAGGTGTGCGCCACCACCTCCCGGCCTTGGATAATGGTTAAAGGCCTTTTTTTTTTTTTTTGAGTGGGTAACCACAGATAATTTTTGCCCCCTACACTGTGCTCCTAGGAAAAACCCAAAATAAGGCTATTGGTTTGAAAAGTTCTATTTATAGACAGATTATATCAAAGTGTGCTGGACAGGATTGTAAGCACACAAAACGAGTATAAACACTCTCAAAAAACACAGAAAAGTCATTTCCAGATACAAGAAACTGTGAGTAAAGGTTTGCTCTTTTAATAACTACAACCTGAGGTTGTCACTATCTCCATGATTTTGGATGATGAAACTCTGAGGGACTAGAAGTTAGATTCTCAGATAGGCAGACATAGGAGAGGGTCATGACTACTAACAAACTGTGTAACTTCCAACATAGCCGCCTTCTTCCTCAGCCTCCTGACCTAAAACAGAAGCCTGACAGCTTTTTCTGCCACCATTAAGGACCACCAGATCCTGGAGAAATTCAAGATCGCACCAGGACATATTTAGCCCAAACTTACGGATCCATCAGCCTCCCTTTGTTCCAACTGACCAATCCTAAATTAGAGGAGGAAGACTTCCCTCTTGCTGGCCTTTGCTACTTTGTGGGTTCTTCTTTTTTCCACCCTTAATCTCCCCGTTTTTACCCGTTACTAGGTAGAAGAGAAAGGAGAGAGTAGAAGGAGAGGGAGAGGGAGAGGGAGAGGGAGAGGGAGAGGGAGAGGGAGAGGGAGAGGGAGAGAGAGAGAGAATCCCGAATCTATTCTGTTTCGGTTTTTCCTGTGAGCATGACTACTAACAAACTTCAACCAACCCCCATGAATGACTAACAACTACCCACCCTGCCTCTCTTGGCCCTGGCATTTAGATACCATCTGAAAAGTACCCAAAATTCCAAACGGCACACAATGGCAGAAACTATCTGCAGCTGGTAAAACCATGGCTCTGCTAGAACAGGAAGCAAATCATAGCAGCTGCGAAGCAGCCCCATATCACCACACCTGGGATTAAAATGAAAACATAGTCTTACAATATCTCTCTGGGTTTTTTTCTTAAAGAAACCAAAATTCTGGAATTCTCACTGCATTCGCCCAAGACCATTAAAACCCCCAATATTTCAAGGAGGGACCTGGATTTGGCTTCCCACCTCTAAAGGAAACTTCTCATCCCCAAACTAGGGCCATAAAACAGGCCTAAGTCTTAAAAGAAACCTCTCCCCACAGAATACTAGAAAGTACCAACTACTACCACATGCCCAAGTCCTGAAGCCACAAAACCAGGCAGTCTGACATAACTACTACCCTGAAGTTTATCTGTATAAAAAGAAATTTGCAAGCTTGGTGAAGCAAGCCACACACTCCCATCCTGCTACAAAAACTCAGACCATGCAAAGTAAGGTGCCTTCTCCAGGACTCTCCTATACAGGGTTTACCTGTGCCACTCTCTTAGAACAATAAAGTTTGCTCTCACCATTTGAGATCACACTGAGACTATTTATTCATTTTCCCATGAAGATTTATTGCTTATTTCTTGCACCACCATCCTTCTGCTTTGCAGAGCGCCTTTCTCTCTGTGGAGTATGTGTGTGTTTGTGTGTGTGTGTGTGTACACACATGTGCGTGTGTGCATGCATGTGTGTGTTTCCTCACCCTAATAATCTTTTCTTTATGTGCTGATTCTATTTGATGCTTTCTTGCTGTCTAAAATTTCCCTGCCTTTTAATTCTTTAACTGGCAGAGAAAATGAACCCACTCAAGACCCCTAGATGGTAAGTAACATTTTCATTTGATAAATTCTAAACATTTTCGTAAGCTCTGCCCCTAAATCAAGACATTAAAATAGCTCCTTCTGGGGTTTGAATGAAGTGCACTGTATCTCCTTAGACCTAGTTTTAGAAACTGGATCATCATTAACATTCAACTTTTTTGACAGATGTTTAGTTTTGAAGAGGAGTCATCAGTAAATCGATAAATTCTTAAAGGTCAAGCTATTTTAGACTTGTTACTTAAATTATGATATTTGTTATTGTGAAAAACTGAGATTTTTTTTCTGACTCCTGAAGCTAGATATTGGTTAGCAAGAAGTAAACCTTTGGTTTAAAAGCAGTTGAGGTTTTTTTTTTGCACTTATTATTGCCATATGAATGTGTGCATCTTAATAATTAAGATAGTCTTAGTTTAGTAAGTGGAGTGAAACTCTCTTTCTGAATAAGGGTTTTCCTAAACCCTGTACTTGTATGTGAAGAATGTAAGTGTCCTTTCACACTGAAGCATTGTCCAAAGACATCCTGCCCCTAACCACACGTTTTCCCTTATTGATGAAGCAAACCTTGACTAGTTGATAGTGACATCACTGATTTACTTGGTGAAGTCACAGTTGGTTCTAGCTACAATGAGGACTACAACCTGAGTCAGAGTCCTACCCAGGAGCCTCCAAAATGAGATTTTAGACTTGGCATCAATCTTTGGTTGATGTATTATCACTGGGAAATAAACAGAAAGTTTTACATGAAGAAAACATGTACAAAACTTCACTTCAAAATGGCATGTGGCTCCCACCAGAGAAGATCTCTCAAACACTGTCTATGAGCTGACTGAAAGCCTTTA